AAAAAAAAAAAAAGTCAATCATCATCAAGGTGGGGAAGCGGGGCAGCAGGCAGGCACAGCAGCTGGAGCTGGAGGCTGAGATCTCACACCACAAACAGGAAGCGGGGAGAGCAAACTCTACATGGCAATCATCTTTATTGTAATCAATTATTTTTTTGTTGTTTTCTCTATATATAGCATTGGCTGTCCTGGAACTCACTATGTAGACTAGGTTGACCACGAACTCAGAGATCCTTCTGCCTTTGTCTCCTGAGAGCAGAGATTAAAGCTGGGGGCCACCACACCCAACTGGCAAGAGTCTTTAAAAACTCTCAAGGCTCACCTCTGCTGATGTCCTTTCTCCAGCAAGACCACACCTCCTAGGCTTTACTAAACCTCACCAGCTGAAGACCAAGAATTTAAATGCCTGAGAATATGGGGGGTATCTCAAAATTCACATTACATGTCACAGTAGAGTTTAAAAAGGGTTTGCGCCGGGCGGTGGTGGCGCACGCCTTTAATCCCAGCACTCGGGAGGCAGAGGCCGGCGGATCTCTGTGAGTTTGAGGCCAGCCTGGGCTACCAAGTGAGTTCCAGGAAAGGCACAAAGCTACACAGAGAAACCCTGTCTCGAAAAAACCAAAAAAAAAAAAAATAAATAAATAAATAAATAAATAAAAATAAATAAATAAAAAGGGTTTGCTTGTGTATGCCTTTATCCCAGCACTTGGGAGGGAGAAGCAGGTGGTTCTCCATGAGTTGGAGGCAGGTCTGGTCTACATACCCTAGGTCAGCCAGGACTACATAGTGAAACCCTAGCTCAAAAGAAAAAAGGGGGGGCGTTATTTGGGGCTTTGGGATGACACAGACTTTAGTGGCTTTGCTGAGCCCCATGGTGGGCAGAATCTTTAGGAGGTAGAAGCTCTGGAAAATCAAAGTCACTTTAACTGGTTTGTAAAGTGTTCAGGCAATCAAGAGGGAGGGAGGCAGCTCACAACTGTTTTTAGTTTCAGTCCAGTACCCTTTTCTGGCCTCTGACCAGTCAGAGATGTCATGCACATACAAGTATTCAGGCAAAACTCCCATACAATAAAACTAAAAATGAATTAATGAATAAATAAAGAGTAAATAATTCAGAGATTGGTGGCATGGCTCAGAGCACTAGCTGCTCTTCCAGAACACCCAGGGGTTCAATTGCCAGCACCTACAAAGGCAGCTTACAACTATCTGAAACCTTAGTTCCAGGGGATCTAATGCTCTCCGTTGGTCCTCATGGACACCAGGAACACACATGGAGCACAGACATACAGGCAAAACACTCATACACATAAAAAAGTACATCTTAGAAAAAAATAGGGGTTGATAAAAAGGTAAAACAGGTAAAGGGGGTCTATTTAGGTCACTCAAAAGAAAATATGGCAAAAATTGTATCAAATTTTATCAAAATTTGCTAGAATTTCTAGGGGGGAAATTAACACAAAACCAAAGGCTATGTTAGTTAGGTTTTCCCACAGTAAGTGAGAGTGCAGTGAAACCACCGAACTAGACCACTTCATGGGTAAAGGAAGGTTCATTCAGGGAATCAAACTGCTGGGACTGTTTCTCAGGAGGTAGAGAACAAGAATGGCAGAAGAGTCTTGCCAGTTTTAAGGGGACAAGTGGCAGGGGCAGGGGTGGAGGGGCATTTGGACCAGTACAGCTGGAGATAATTGGTGTTGCGGGTGGATAAGAATAGTATCTAGTATCTAGAAAGAATAGGGCTTTCCTGAAAAACAAAAACCTGCTTCACAAGGTTTCTGAAGAATGCTGAGTTGGGGGGGAGTTGTTGTTGTTTAGATTTTGGTTTTGGTTTTGTTTTTTCAAGACAGGGTTTATCTGTGAAACAGTCCTGGCTGTCCTGGAACTCTCTCTGTAGACCAGGCTGTCCTTGAACTCACAGAGATCTGCCTGCCTCTGCCTCCCGAGTGCTGGGATGAAAGTCCAGCGTTCCAATGCCCAGCTTTATTGTTGTTTTGGGATTTTGTTTTGTTTGTTTGTTTTTTTTTTAAGACAGGGTTTCTCTTTGTTGCCCTAACTGTCCTAGAACTCACTCTGTAGACCAGGCTAGCCTCTGCCTCCTGAGTGTTAGGATTAAAGTTGAGTGCTCCACCACCGCCTAGCTTAAGTTTTGTTTATCTGTTAGCAATCCTTGTGTTTACCGGGTCAGACTCCAGCCTGAGCTAAGCTCAGACTATCATTTAGGACACTGGCAGCAGCACTGTCATTTTGGGGCCTGCTTTGAACCTAAAACCCAGCACCAAGACACAAGACAAGGTGTACTCAGTAGTGTAATAGTGATGCTATTGTAGACACCACAGTAGCAGAAATTTTCATATGCTGAAGCCATTGCTGTCCACCTAGCAAACAACTCCTTAGGCTTTTTGAAAACCTGGAGACTGGAGTTGGACATGGTGGCACATACCTTTAATCCCAGCACCCGGGAGGCAGAGACAGGCAGATCTCTTGAGTTCGAGGCTATCCTGATCAACAGAATGATCAACAGAAGACAGCCAAGGCTACACAGAGAAACTCAAAAACAACAAACAAACATACAAACAAAAACGAAAACAAAGCCGGGCGGTGGTGGCGCACGCCTTTAATCCCAGCATTCAGGAGGCAGAGACAGGCGGATCTCTGTGAGTTCGAGGCCAGCCTGGGCTACCAAGTGAGTTCCAGGAAAGGCGCAAAGCTACACAGAGAAACCCTGTCTCAAAAAACCAAAAAAAAAAAAAGAGAAGCAAGCAACCAAGGTGGCTAGCACTTGAGGGTGACACCTAAGGTTGACCTCTGTCTACACACGCACACATGCATACACACGTGCACCTGCACACACATGAATACACACACAAACACAGAAGTACACATACCCTCCCTTCCCCAAATGACCCCCAAACAATAAGACTTCTTTATTTATTAGTTATAGCTCAAGTTACGTTCCTCAAAAGATATGCTGAAGTCCTAAGATCCCCAGAACCTGAGAATAAATGGCGTACTTTTTGGAAATAAGGTCTCGGCAGATAAAGTTGTTAGAGTAGTATGGGTCCTAAGCCAGCGACTGGTATGCTTACAAGAAAGTGGAAATTTCACATAAAGATGGAGGCAGAGATTAGAGTGGTATATCCAAGCCAAGGGATGCCAGGGATGTTTGGCTACAAGCAGATGTGGCAAGAGGCAGGAGACCATGGTACTGCCAACACTTATAGCTTCTAGAACCATTACATTTCTGCCGTCCGTCACCAAATTTATAATATTTTGTTTGGGCTGCTTAGGAAATGTTTTTGTTTAAAATTGCTTTCATTTATCATGGAGAAATATGTAGCTGTGGGATTGCTGGATCCTAGGGCATTTGTCCTTTTAAAAAGTTTTTCCCCCTGTGGGTCTGATGAATACAGGGCCTCAAGATTCTTAGGGAAACCTCTCCCACTGAACTATTCCCTTCACCCTTGGGTATTTAAATTTAAAAGAAGCCTCTGGACAGCTCCCCCAAGTAGTTGTCCCCCAAGTAGTTGTCCCGCTTTCCACTCGACAGACAAGGGCGGTTGTTGCAGTTACTGCACGGCACACACCTCTCAGCATGTGATGTCATCAATCTGTTTCTTGGAAGGGTGAAAAATAGCACCTTATGGTGATTCTAATGTTTAGTAGTGGTAAGCACGTTCTTTTATGTGTTTATTGAACATATATGTGTATATGTATATACACACATTTTATGTACATATGTATGTGTACACACACACACACACCACTCTTTATTAATTTATTTAAAGACAGAGCCTCTGTGTAGCCCTGCCTGGCCTGGACTTCAGAGATTTGCCTGACTCTGCCTCCCAGGTGCTGGGATTAAAGGCATGTGCCACAATGCACAATTTCCTCCAATCTTTTTTGATAAAGCAATTCCCTAGTTATTCAGGTTGGTCTTGAACCAACTCTAGAGCCCAGACAGGCCTGCCTTGGATTTGTGATCATCCTGCCTTTGTGTGCCCCAGCCTCTTAGGATAGCTGCCTTATATCACCAGGTCTGTGTCATTAGCCATTCATATCATCCTGATGAGATGTCTATCTACTTTTGCTCACTTAATTAGCCCTCACCCTCAATTAAAGCTTTATGGAGCTATACTGCCTAGACCATACACACTTTTACCACCCCCACCCCAAACCCTGTGGGGAACTGTATACAATGTTCTGTCAGCATGTATGCCTGCACACCAGAAGAGGGCACCAGATCTCATTATAGATGGTTGTGAGCCACCATATAGTTGCTGGGAATTGAACTCAGGACCTCTGGAAGAGCAACCAATGCTCTTATTCTCTGAGCCACCTCTCCAGCCCTTGTTTTTATTTTTAAGACAGGGTCTCACTTTGTGGCCTCGGCAGGCCAGGAACTCGGTATCTAGATCTAGATCAGGCTGGCCTAGAATTCATACAGATCTGCCTGCCTGTACCTCTCGAGTGCTGTTTTTGTTGTTGTTTGTTTGGTTTGGTTTTTCAAGACAGAGTTCCTGTGTGTTACTTTGCTATTATAGTTTTTACAGTCCTGGCTGTCCTGGAATTCACTCTGCAGACTAGGCTGGCCTCAAACTCACAGAGATCCACGCCCGGCCGGAGCGCTGGTTTTAAAGATGGGCGTCACCGCCTGACCCATCTATTTTAAAATATGCAATTCGGTAGCACCAACTCCAACAATTCTAGCGTGTGCCCCTCACACTGGACTGCCTAGGCGCGGACAGCTGCAGCTCCGGGTCCAATCCCGGAAGATAATTTGACTTCTGCTTCCTCTTCCCTAAGACCCAAGCATCAGAAGACAACTCCAGGGACGGACTGCCCTCCGGCGCGTGCGCGCGACTCCGGGAACCATAGAGGGCCTCTATCGCGCTATCCTAGAGCGGCCCGGAAGTGCCGCTGGGCCCTTCCTGAGGCCCGGCTGACTTCCTGCTGCTGCCAGCCGCCGCCAGCTACCTGCGGACAGCTTCCTCCAGGTGCCGAGGGCTTTAAAGGCTTGGTTTATATTTGTAATGTGATGTCATTAGGTTTTCCAGAGCTATGATTAGGATTCGGGGTTGAGTAGGAGAGGGGTCTCAGCTGCGTTATCTAAATTCACTAATATCGCTTACGTAGGACTTACGCGTGCGCTTCTGTTTCTTGTCTCTTTTCCTTGCCAACTGCTCATCTCTGGGAGGCTTCCCTTCTCCTAGACTCAGGTGGGCTCCTTTGCCATCCGGTCTCAGCGCCGCCTCCCAAACACGCGTCCTATTTGCTATCTATCGTTGGTAGTTCACGTGGACAGTGACAGGCAGATGGGGTCCCACATCGACCCTCGTCTTTTGGTACATAAAGCTCCTGACCAGGAAGTCACTTGTCTCTCCTTCACCTCTCCAGGCAGCTGTGGTTAGGACCTTCTCTTCGGACTGATCAGGAAAGGGGAAGCAAGGATGTCTGCTTTGGGGGCTGCAGCTCCATACTTGCACCATCCAGCTGACAGTCACAGTGGCCGGGTCAGTTTCTTGGGAGCCCAGCCATCTCCAGAAGTGGCGGCACTGGCTCAGCTCATGAAGGACTTGGACAGGAGCACCTTCAGGAAGTTGCTGAAGCTTGTAGTCGGAGCCCTGCACGGGAAAGACTGCAGAGAAGCTGTGCAGCACCTTGGTGCCAGTGCCAACCTGTCCGAGGAGCGTCTGGCCGTCCTGTTGGCAGGCACACACACACTGCTCCAGCAGGCTCTCCGGCGACCCCCTGCCAGTCTGAAGCCAGATGCGTTCCAGGACGAGCTCCAGGAGCTTGGCATTCCTCAAGATATGATTGGAGATTTGGCCAGTTTGGCATTTGGGAGTCAGCGCCCTCTTCTCGACTCTGTCGCCCAACAACAGGGGTCCTGGCTGCCCCACATGTCTTACTTCCGGTGGCGGGTGGATGTGGCCATCTCCACCAGTGCTCAGACCCGCTCCCTGCAACCGAGTGTTCTCATGCAGCTGAAGCTCACAGATGGATCTGCACACCGCTTCGAGGTACCCATAGCCAAATTCCAGGAGCTGCGGTACAGTGTAGCCTTGGTCCTTAAGGAGATGGCCGAACTGGAGAAAAAGTGTGAGCGCAAACTGCAGGACTGAACCCTGGTGGGGATGCTGAAACCAGTACCAGAGCTTACAGCCCCACTGGTCATGAGACCAACTCAACTGAGGTCCTGCATATAAGGATGTATTTTGTTTAAGGGAAAAGACAACTGTGAGTTCGCGGTTGGTTTTGTTTTTATGAGCGAACTATGGACATTGTGGCACAATTTATAATCTCAGCATTTGGAAGGCTGAGGCTGGAGAATGGTAATTTTAAGGTCAGCCTGGGTTACATACCAAGGCTCAATTTTGAACTAAACAAGTAAAGAACTATTAAAAACATGTTCTTCTACTGGGGTGTTAAACCTTATACATGTCCCCTCCCCAGAGGTTGGCATGTGCTGCAGGATGAGGCCATGTGGAGATGTAGGGTCCAGGTAAGGACCTGTTGTAGTATACAGCAAGGTTGCTCAGCCTGACCTGAGCCCTCTGCTTCTTTGGTTTCGAAAATCCTGTGCTTTGGTGTGCACAGGTTTATTTTTTATTTTTATTTTTATTTTTTTTGTCTTAAGTTCCTGCCTTGCTGAAGCGACATCCTAGTGGGCAGGTTAGAGGGGGAGACATAAATATTAAATGTGTGTTACCTGATGTCTAGTATATATGACATTAAATACATGTTTTTAATATTGAAACACTGCAACCCACAGAACCAGGGAGGCTGTATAGCAGGGAAGACTGTGGCTTACAATAAGTTTTGGTTTTACTCAATCACTGGGCAAGCCTCAGTGAAACATTTCACTATCAGGATAAGACTTTATACTGTATCAAGCTGATAATAGAAAAATAAATAAATAAATAAAATTTTTTTTAAATGAAGAAAAAAAAATAAAACATGAGTACAGGGATAGACGATAAGGCTCAGCAGTTAAGAGCACTTACTGCTCTTGCAGAGGACTCGGGTTCAATTCCCAGCACCCACATGGTGGCTCACAACTGTCTGTAAATCCAGTTGTAGGGGATCCAGCACAGGGACATCAGGCGCATATGTGGTATACACACACACACACACACACACACACACACACACACACACAGGCAAAATGTTCACACTCATAAAATAACAAATCTAGTATATGTGCTGTCGAAGCGAGCACGTAAACTAACAAATCTAAAACAAAAAACGCACGAATACAGCTTGTGCCAATGGATACAGCCCAGTCAGGTGAGGACAGGTATGTCTGGAAGGTGGGCCATCATGACAAGGTTGGTCACAGCGTGGCCTTTGAACAGGTAGGTGTCTATGCAAACATAGGAGGTAAGCGATGCTGTGTACTCTTTAGAGGCATCAACTGGTGGATGGCTGCCAGTAAAGTGAAGCTACTCGGTGCAGCTGGGCGGTGGGGCACGCCTTTAATCCCAGCACTCAGGAGGCAGAGGCAGGCGGATCTCTGTGAGTTCGAGGCCATCCTGGTCTGCAGAGCGAGATCCAGGACAGGCACCAAAACTACACAGAGAAACCCTGTCTCAAAAAAACCAAACACCAAAAAAAAAAAAAAAAAGTTACTCAGTGCTAGTGGTTCATTCATTGAGTGTATTTCCACTTTGGAATATGTCCACTGGACTAGCCTAGTACTATTACCCTTGTCTCTCCATGGATAGTTTGGAAGCACTGGGCTTATAAAGAATGTCTTTGGGCTGGGTGGTGGCACACGCCTTTAGTCCCAGCACTCGGGAGGCAGAGGCAGGCGGATCTCTGCAAGTTCGAGGCCAGCCTGGTCTACAGAGTGATTTCCAGGCAGCCACAGCTACACAGAGAAACCCTGTCTGGGGAAAAAAAGAAAAGAAAAGAATAAAAGAAAAACTTGGCGTATTACTGTGGAGCAGGGAGATTTTAGGATGACATTGATTTTCTCAAAAAGAACCTTACAGGAGCTGGAGAGATGGCTCAGAGGTTAAGAGCCCTGACTGCTTTTCCAGAGGTCCTGAGTTCAATTCCCAGCAACCACATGATGGCTCACAGCCATCTGTAACGAGATCTGGTGCCCTCTTCTGGCCTGCAGTCATACATAAGTAAATAAATCTTTAAAAAAAAAAAACACCTTCTGGCACAAGTACAGACTTACAAGTCAGTAAGTTAATTGGCCCTTCTGTGCAGTCCATGTCATTGAAAGGTTTTGTTTTGGAGACTGTTTCACTGTGTGGGTCAGGTTGCCCCTGAGGAACTCAATCCTGACTCAATTAATTGGCATGCACCATAACACTCCGAATCCAAAGGTTTTGAAGATCTACCAGGAATTTTTATCAGGACACATTTTGAAAACACCTTTTGTAGGAGTATCACGTAAAGAACAAAATTGCAGCCAGGCATGGTGTCATACACCTGTAATCCCAGCTCTCCAGCGACAGGAAATCTCTTGAGTTCAAGGCCAGCCTGGTCTACAGAGAATGTTGCAGTACAGCTAGGCTACACAGATAAACCCTGTCTCAAGAGACAAAACAAAATAAAGAACAGAATTGCAAGTAGGTTTACATAGAGCATAGCAAGATGAACTGTCATACCGTGTAGTCAACAAACACGATTCTTGGGAACTCAGTGTCCTGCTACTGCTTTCAGATCACCTCTGGAGAATGGTCACTGTAACTTCTAACAGTCCTGGTGGTGGTTTTTGGTTTTGTTTTTTTTTTTCTTTTGTGTTTTGGTTTTGGTTTTTTTTGAGACAGGGTTTCTCTGTGTAGTTTTGGTGCCTTTCCTGGAACTTGCTCTGTAGACCAGACTGGCCTCAAACTCACAAAGAACCGCCTGCCTCTGCCTCCCGAGTGCTGGGATTAAAGGCATGCACCACCACTGCCCAGCACATTGGCAACTCTTCCAGAGGTCCTGAGTTCAATTCCCAGCAACCACGTGGTGGCTTTCAGCCATCTATAATGGAATCTGATGCCCTCTTCTGGCATGTAGATAAAACACCATATACGTAAAATAAATCTTAAAACAGCAACAACTTTTGGTCTTGCTGAAATGCTTTGGAGTGTGTGGTGACTTTGAGAACCCAGACCCACTTCATGTGCCCAATGACAACTTGTCTTTGGTCTTCTGGCCTCCAAAACAATGAGGGAATACATTTCAGTTGTTTAAGGCACCTAGTCTTTGGTAGACTTCTGTGTCAACCTCAGAAGACTAATGCAGCGGGATTTGAGATAGCCAATCCTGCCAAGGGCTGAGGAGCAGCCCCGTATCAACAGGTTGACCTTTGCACACCTCTAGGCTGGTGTTCATGACAGAAAGGAACCCTCATAGATGTGATCAATACTGGTGATGTCGTTTTGACTGGAGACAGGAACTCACCAGATCCTGGAGAACACTGACCATTCCCCAGGCTTAATCATAGAAAAGACAAGCTGGCTATCCATAGGAAATAAAAATAGCAAGGAAGGAGGCGGACAGGGACAGTCTATAGCTCTCGATGGCCAAATTATGGAAATGAGTGTGTGCTGAGGCAAGAAGGGTCAGTCTTGTGGGGGGGGGGGGGGTTCTGATTTTTCTGGCTAGTAGCATACTTTTGGCTACATTAAGTCGGGGTCTAGATCTGTTGGGGTCCCTGAAGCCCGAGCCTTGCGTTCAGTTAACGCTCCTCCTAGAATTGTCTCGGGTCTCAGCTCGGCGTCTGGCTCCACAGCTTTCACTCCAGAGTCAGCTGTTGGCACGGGTGGAAGCTGAGCATGGACGTCGTCTCTGACGTGGAGGACAGAGAGCAAACATCGCTGGGCACAGGAGTGCAAACCTAGGGTCTGAGCTGCTCAGAAATTCAATCGCTCGGACCTGTAGTAAGACCATTTTATGAAAATATCTTTTACGTTTAAAAGAGCTGGCACTTTAGCTGACCTCACAGTCATGTTAGTAATAAACCTTGCGGCCACTTAAAACAGCCTGGTAGCCTGCTAGTGTACTCAGCCTGTCTAACCTGCTTCCCCTCTCCCCCCTCGAGACAGGGTTTCTCTGTGTAGTTTTGGTGCCTTTCCTGGAACTCACTCGGTAGACCAGGCTGGCCTTGAACTCATAGAGTATACGCCTGCCTCTGCCTCCCAAGTGCTTGGATTAAAGGCGTGCACCACTGCTGCCAGGCTCTGAGGCTATCTGTGATGCATTTAACCAGCACAGCAGAGCCAGCATGGACAGCACAGCATGAAGAGACCATCTCAAAAGAGGTTGTTTTGTTGTTTTTAAAAAGGACAGATGCAATCTCAACATGAGACTCAGGTTCTCCAGATCTTGGACAGGGCCTATGTGCCCTGAGCGAGCATACAGATAGGGTAGACAGTAAAGTGTCACAAGGACAGAAGGGTTGAAGACCAGGACACCAGCATGGTGGTCACCTTATGTAGGCCCCAAATGACCACAGCATGTTCGTTTCTGTAGTGATGCTACTCTGTAGACCAAAAGTGAGGCTAGCCCTGGGCAAATCCTTCCACCTCTGGAAGCCTCCGCCGCGGCCCACTTGCCCGCCATAAGACTCCTGAGTCAGTTTCCACAGAGTCCGCCTCTCCCCAGGGCTCCTAGGTAGGTGTAAACCTCAGTGCCTAACCTCACTGCGGCTATCAGGTAGAGACAAGGGACATCCGGCGCGTGACTACAAGCCCCGGCAGACATCGCGCAGGGGAAGGGGCGGGCCGCCCCGGAAGATAAGGCTGCTTGCAGCCCCGTATTTCCTCTTTCGGCCGTGCTTGCCGGCAGGTAGGTTGTGTTTGGGGCGCTGGGGGCTTGAAATCATCCACCGCCATCCGCCACCGTCAGCTACTCGGTGGTGTGTCGTGCGGCCCGGCCCACCCATCCAGGACAGGGAGGGAAGGATGGCGGTGTCTTCGGCCTTGGGAGCCGGCGGGGATCTGTTTATCTGGACGCTGAACGTGAGTCCTTTCCAGACTCGCCGCCATGGGCCGTGTGATCCGAGGGCAGCGGAAAGGTGCGGGTTCTGTGTTCCGCGCGCACGTGAAACACCGTAAGGGCGCCGCGCGCCTGCGTGCTGTGGACTTCGCCGAGCGGCACGGCTATATTAAGGGCATCGTGAAGGTAAAGAGGGCACCGGCGGGGGCAAGCAGGCGGGGAACAGGGCGCCCCGAGGAGACCTTTTAATCCTGCCACCTCGACCCATAGGACATCATCCATGACCCTGGTCGCGGCGCTCCCCTCGCGAAAGTGGTCTTTCGTGATCCCTACCGATTTAAGAAGCGGACGGAGCTGTTCATCGCCGCGGAGGGAATCCACACTGGGCAGTTTGTGTACTGCGGCAAGAAGGGTGAGCTCCAAAGCGGGGAAGGAAGGGCTGGACCCCGGACATTGTATGCCCGTGCTTTACAGTGTGGGAGCGGTGTGGGTTCGCATTGCTTTCGACTTTATCGGTCGCATTGCCACTTCTCTCGACAGCCCAGCTGAACATCGGCAATGTTTTGCCCGTGGGCACCATGCCCGAGGGTACCATCGTGTGTTGTCTGGAGGAGAAGCCGGGGGACAGGGGCAAGCTGGCACGAGCTTCTGGCAACTATGCCACAGTCATCTCCCACAACCCAGAGACCAAGAAGACGCGAGTGAAGCTCCCTTCAGGGTCCAAGAAGGTCATTTCCTCAGCCAACAGAGCTGTTGTTGGTGAGTGCCGGAGGGTAGTGGAACCCTGAAGACTGGGTGCTCTGCATATGAACTGCCAGCTGCTGGGCCTGGGCCCTTAATCTTGGTTCTTGGGGACACCGTCTTTGAACACGGCATACAACCTTGGGTTGAATTGTAGAGTAGTACATTGTCTACTTTGTGGGTTTGTTACAGCATGGACTGTGGAGATAGCCCCGTGGTTAAAAGCACTGGTTGCTCTTCCAGTTCACAACTGTATCTCCAGTCCCGGGGGATCTGATGATCTCTTCCGGTACTGCACAGATGTGTACAGACATACATAAGATAATACATCCATTTTTGTACACTGTGACTTAACCTAGGACTTGAATGCTGCTCTTGTGTGTGTTAATTTCAGAGAAGATAGGGCCAGCATTAGTGACTTTAAAAAGACATCCAAGTCAGTGAAATGGAACTTGAGTCAGATTCTCTTGTTACCTGGCAGCATCTCACAATCTGGTAAATTCATCTGCTGCACAGGGTAGATTCTGAGGATAGATGTTCACAGAGGATGCCTTTGCTCAGTGGATTTTGCCTTTTGTATGGAAGGTGTCTTCAGAGGTTGGAGGACCTGTCCTGATCTCAGACACTGAATGTTGAGGTGCACCCCTGGGAACGGACAGAGCCAACATTTTGCTTAATACATGCATGGGCCTTGGATTGCCTGTCAGTGGAAATGACGGATTGCAGAGTGTAAGGGGTTTCCTAGGCGAAACTTGGTACAGGCTCTTGGATGGTACATTTCATTGAGGCTGAAAATGGTCTTCCTGGGGTTGTAGATTCCTGGCATAGCACTAGTGGGGGGCAGTCTTGGTGACTGGAGGGCTTTGTGATGCACATCTCAGAGGTGTCCTATATTTTTGCAGGTGTTGTGGCTGGTGGGGGCAGAATTGACAAACCCATCTTAAAGGCTGGTCGTGCCTACCACAAATACAAGGCAAAGAGGAACTGCTGGCCACGTGTCCGGGGTGTGGCCATGAATGTAAGTAACCACAAACTGAGTGGATAGTATTTCCTGTGCTTGGATCTGCGGGGTGGGTGGGTGGGGGTCCTAGGCACTGGATTCTGCCACTGTCTTCCCTGGATAGGTGAGGTTACCCCCACTCTAACTAACCTCATGCTCTCTCTACAGCCTGTGGAGCATCCCTTTGGAGGTGGTAACCACCAGCACATTGGCAAACCCTCCACTATCCGAAGAGATGCCCCTGCTGGGCGCAAAGTGGGTCTCATTGCTGCCCGCCGGACTGGGCGACTACGAGGAACCAAAACTGTACAGGAGAAGGAGAACTAGAGCTCAGGAGCTAATAAAGTCTGTCCTTTGGCTAATAGGTGTGTGTGAGCCTCGGTTTTTGGGGGGACAGATGGGATCCCTGCCATGGAGCCCCTCAGTTTACAGGGAAGTGAACGGTGCAGGAACTTAAAACACCCAAGTGTTCAGGATCAGAAGCTTGCACCCTAGAGGGACATGATGTGCTGGGCTTGGAATTTGGGTGGGCGGCTCATTTTTTATTGTGTGTGTTTGTGTGCATGAGTGTGGATGTCAGGACTAGGTGTTCTCCCTGTCCACGTGGGCGCTGGGGATTGAATTCAGGTTGTCAGACTTGGTGGCAAGTGCGTTGACCTGCTGAGCCCTCTCGCTAGGACATGAGTTGAATTTTCACTAGAGGGTTAGGGCATCCTATCTAATGGATACAATTATAGCACTTTTTTTTCTCAACGACACAAGCTTGAGTCATTTGGGAAGATGGACTCTGAATTGAAAGAATGCCTCTACAGACAAGTCTGTCAGGCGTTTTCTTGATTAATGATGGATGTGGTAGCCCAGTCCATTGTAGGCACTGCCACCCCTGGGCAGGTGGTCCAGGGTTGTAAAAGAAAACACTGAGCAAGCCATTAAGGGTCGATCTTGGTGGCATGTGCCTGAGGCCATGTTCCTGCCCTGACTTCCTTATGTGATTGATGTGGAAATGTAAGCCAAAGAAACACTTCTCAAGTTGCTTCTGGTCATGGTGCCTGTCACAGCAACAGCAACCCTAAGACAGAATAGGTACCAACATTGTTGGCCAGTTTTGGTGGGAGGATTGTAGGGTAGAACCATTCATTGAGTGTGCAGAGCGTCATGAGCTCTTGTGGGAAGAGAATGCTGGGAGCAGTGCAAGTGGTGTCTCAGAGGGAAGTTTGGAGAGCCCTTAAAGACGAGGGGCTGGTCTTTACGGTTTCTTGGAAACAAGGGTTCTCTGTAGCTCTGGGTATGAATTTAGTTCTGGTGCCTCTGCCGCCTCCTGAGGGCTGGGACTAAAGGCCTGCACCACCATGCCTGACATTTTTTGTTTTGAGGTAGGATCCCACTATATAGCTCAGATCCATCTGCCTTTGCTTCCCAAGTGTTAGCACTAAGGGTGTGTGATACTTCAATTAAGAATCTTGTTCTGGGGCTGGAGAGATGGCTCCAGAGCTCCTGAGTTCAGTTCCCAGCACCCACATGGTGACTCACAAGCCATCTGTAATGAGATCTGGTGCCCTCTTCTGGCCTGCAGTCAGGCATACATACTGTATACATATATAAATTTTAAAAAATCTTGTTCTAGTCAGCTGAGAGTAAAGAACTTAGCAAGAGACCTGAACCATTAAAGTGAACCTTTGCTTTGCTGGAACTGTCTGGGTCAGCTGGAGTTGAAGAATTAGCTGTGACTAAGAGCTGGTGAATGCCTTTAATCCCAACAGATAGGCCTGGTCTACCAAGTGAGTTCCAGGACAGCCAGGGTTACATAGGAAACTGTGTGTGTGTGTGTGTGTGTGTGTGTGTGTGGTGTGTGTGTGTGGGGGGGAGAGGTCATTTTGCTCAGGGTTAGCATTCAGAAGCTGTGGTCCAGGGGCAGGCAACTGAACTCAGTAATGTGTAAGATTTTTCAAGGTGGTTCAGGTTTTGAAGGCACTGAGGCCAGTGAAGGTGCTGCCTCAGTCATAGAAGCCCTAGGGTAGAAGGGATCCTGGAGAGAAACAGGCTTGACACCTTACAGCCGGCTTAGAGTCCCTGAAGAGAGAGCCTAGCACTCTGGACATGCTGGTACCATGGGACCAACAGGTGTCAGTGGATCCTACCTGTACTTGATAGGAAAGCAGCCGTGAGGAGCGAGCCAGTAAGCAGTGTTACTCCATGGCCTGTGTACTGAGTTTCAGCTTTGACTTCTTTTGATGCACTGTGACGTGGAAGTGGAATAGACTCTTTCTTCGCTTAATTGCTTTGGTTATGGTGGTTTATCAGGACAATAGAAAACCCAAGGCAGACACCAAACAGGCTTTTTCAGTTTACGTAAATTCTCACTAATGTAGCTGTTTTCACTTTTCCAAACACTTAGAACTGCCGTTTCAGAATATTTCATAAGAATATTTTAAAATACCGATTTTATTTATGTGTGTATGCTTATCACACACTCGTGTACTCGGAACTCACATGGAAGCAAGAAGACAACTTGGAGTTGGTTTTCTCGTCCACCATGTGGGTTCTAGAACGCAAACTCAGGTTATCAGGTCTTCTCCACTGAACCACCATCTGCCCCCAGGATCTTTTTTTTTTTAATATCACTTTATTCACATAGTACATAAGTGTTTTATAAGAGTACCAAAAATAAGCCGAGCAGTGCCGGCACACCCCTTTAACCCCAGCACTCAGGAAGCAGAGGTAGGTGTGAGTTCCAGGATAGCCAGAGCTACACAGAGACCCTGTCTCAAATAAGCCCTCCCCCCCAAAAAAAAATTTTAAAAATACCCCAAATAGCCCAGTGTTCTAAATTTAAATAGAATGATCAGATGCATTTAGGAAAGTCATGAAGCTAGTAAGAAAAGGAATGTCATTTGAAATGTCAATAGTCCCTTCGTCTGAACTTTTCAGGTGCTTCAATAAGCTAATGCCAAATAAGCAAAGGAAGAATTATGGCTATCTTTACCAATCAATATCCACAACTGTAGGGTTATTCTCCAATATAACATCAAGATATTGAGGAAAATAAAACTAACAGAAGAATGTTTTTCCCTAGGAAGGAAAAGGAATCGTGACATTGAGTCACTCAGGAAAGGTCCTGCAGATTTAACAATTCCTTCCTAGGAGGAGGAAGGCTGTTCATGTATCGTGTATGTTCTAAGTTGGGCTTCTGACAGCCATGGATCAGAGCTTCTTGTGCACTTTCTGATGCTGGATCAGGTGCCCATGCTGGTTGAAGGCACGCCCACACTCCCCACACTCATAGGGTTTCTCTCCCGTGTGGATCCTCTGGTGCTGGATGAGTACCGAGTACTGGCTGAAGGCCTTGCCACAGCTATTACATTCGTAGGGCTTCTCGCCTGTGTGGGTCCTCAGGTGCACGATGAGAGTTGCTTTCAGGCTGAACGCTTTGCCACACTCTGTGCACTGGAAGGGTTTCTCGCCTGTGTGGATTCTCTCGTGCTGGATCAGAGACCTGCGCGCGCTGAAAGCATGCCCACACTCGCCGCACACGTAGGGTTTCTCTCCGGTGTGGACTCTCTGGTGCTGGATGAGGTGTGAGTGCTGAACGAAGGCCTTCCCACACTCATAGCACGCATAGGGTTTCTCCTCGGTGTGAATCCTCTCATGATTCATCAGGGTGGAGCGGTGGCTGAAGGTCTTGCCACACTCACTGCACTCGTACGGCTTTTCCCCAGTGTGCACGTTGTGATGCTGGATGAGCACCGAGCGGTCACTGAAGGCCTTGCCACACTCACTGCACGTGTAGGGTTTCTCCCCAGTGTGGACCCGCTGGTGCTGCAGCAATGTTCTCTTCACGCTGAATGTCTTCCCACACTCGCTGCACCCATGAGGCTTCTCTCCAGTGTGCACTCTCTGGTGGCTCCGCAGGACAGTGCTATGGTTGAAGGCTTTCCCGCACAAGGCACACACGTACGGCCTCTCCCCTGTGTGGATCCGCTGGTGCTGGATGAGGTGTGAGAGCTGAGTGAACGCTTTCCCACATTCCAAACATTCGTGAGGCTTCTCTCCCGTGTGTATCTTGTGGTGCTGGGCAAGGTCTGAGCTGACCCTAAAGGCTTTCCCACATTCATTACACTCATAGGGCTTTTCGCCTGTGTGGATCCGCTTGTGCTTACTAAGGACAGAACTCTGGCTGAAGGCCTTCCCACATACATGGCACACGTAGGGCTTCTCACCAGTGTGTATTCGCTGATGCTGAAGGAGATGGGAGCTCCGACCAAAGCACTTCCCACACTCAATGCACATATAGGGTCTCTCTCCACTAGGAGCCATGTGGTGGCGAGCAAGAGGTACACTAGGATTCGATCCCTGGACATTACGGGGCTTGACAGGGGTTGGACGCGGGTAGAAGTTCTCTGTTTTGTAATGATCTTCATTAGCCTTCAACAGTGCGTCCCCCAGGAGCAGTGTCTTTTCATCTGAGATCAATGGCTGGAAGTTCAAATTTGTGTTCTGGTTCTCGTCCTTGGTTTTCCATTCTGAAACAACAAATACAAAATGAAAAGGTGAACACTAGCCAGGGTGTGGGTGGTACATGCCTATAATCCCAGCACTGGAGAGGCTGAGGCAGGAGGACTGTGAATTCAGTATCAGTCTGGGCTACCTACAAGAGCGACTTTAAAAAACAACCCAAGGGCTGGAGAGATGGCTCAGGGGTTAAGAGCACTGCCTGCTCTTCCAAAGGTCCTGAGTTCAATTCCCAGCCACCATATGGTGGCTCACAACCATCTGTAAAGAGATCTGGCGCCCTCTTCTGACCTGCAGGCATACATGCAGGCAGAACACTGTATACATAATAAATAAATAAATCTTAAAACAAAACAAAAAAACAACCCAAACCAGAATAAAAACAACAAAAGGACCAGGCAGTGGTGTAGCATGCCTTTAATCCCAGCACTCAGGAGGCAGAGACAGGTGGATCTCTGTGAGTTCAGGGCCAGCCTGGTCTACAGAGTAAGATCCAAGACAGGCACCAAAACTACACAGAGAAACCCTGTCTCGAAAAAAACAAAAAAGGAAAAAACAAACAAACAAACAAAGACAAACACAAAAAAATAAAACAAAACAAAACCACAAAAAACCCACAAAAGGTTAGCACGTCCCCAAGCTGCAGCGTGCAATCCACTCCTAAAGTCAGCTTTGCTGCATAGTCTCTGATGTGAGATCAGAACGGAACATCTTTCAACAAAACAACCAATAATGGGATGAAGGGGGAAGGCTTCAAAGTGTCTGCCCTGTGCAGAATGCACGTAATAGTGGCGGCACATCCTCGTGTTCTCCCTGGAATTACCATGACCGAGTCTCCAGAGGCTGTGGTGGTGA